TTAAAACCTTAAATGATTTCAACTAGAAAAGTCATGAACGTAAAAGTTGTTGAACTCATCACTATCTATAACTTTTATTTTGATTATTTCTTCATTTAATAAAGTGTTAGTAAACATTGTTCACAAATCTACATGTCACTCATAGTTTCATAAACTATACGAGAGACATGTTGATTTGTGAACAATGATTACTATCACTTTGTCAAATGAAGAAATAACCAAAATAAAAGTTTTAAATCTTAATGAGTTATACAACTTTGGTAATCGTCACTTTTTCAGCTAAAATCATTTGGTGTTTTAAAATCTTGTTAGAACTTGTCATTTTTTTAAATTTGAAATTTTCAATTGCTCAAACTTTGTCAAACGAAAAAAATGACCAAATCAACACAGTAACTTGATAGTGCATGATTTTAGAAAATTTTAGGGAAAAATCATCACATTTGGAGTTAGTATAAGGGAGAAAGACTAGTTACAAATTTTACCCAGAGATTAAAAAAGAAAAATCACAACTGTTCATGATGATCAATAACGAACAAGTGTGATTTCTCTTTTTAATCTGTGGCTGAAACTTGTAACTAGTTTTTCTTCCTCATACTAACTCCAAATGTGATGGGCTTTTTCCTAAAATTTTCTAAAATCATGCTCTATCGTTTTAGTCTAGTCATCTATCTTTGTCACTAATTTTGGACAATTCAAATTTTGAATTTCAGAAAATGACAACTTCAAACCTTATTTTCAACCACTAAATGATTTCAGCTGTAAAGACGATGAATATAAAAGTTGTATGACTCGTCAAGATCTCCAACATTTTTTGATCATTTCTTCATTTCATAAAGTATTAAGTGATTTCATAAAATTTTAGTAGTAATAGGGTGGATGTTGAAATAGATTCATCTAGATGTTGCAAAGGGTAGTCTTACACACATGCATAAAATCGTCTCACACACATACATAAATATATAGTCTCACACATACATAAATATATAGTCTCACACGCATGCATAAATAAAGTCTTACAAATACACACACTTACACAAACACTCCACGTTCAACAACTAGCAAGCCCGTTGTAACGACTTTTCCCTTGACACCTTTTCGTTCCCATGGCAATATGTCTTTGGGCAGGTTCTTTTTCACAATACTGATCTTCTTAGAAAAGTCTGTGAATAGCGGCATCTCATCGTAGTTATTGTAAGCTTCAATATCGTCCACATCATCAACTCCGATAATGTGCTGTTTCCCGAAGGCAACCATGTGATTTGTCTTCTTCTATGGGGAGAGTTACTTTGTGGGTCAGGCATAAAAAAAACTTGTGCGATATGTGAAGCGAGCACCCAAGGGTCATCTTGGTAACCTAGATTCTCAAGGTCCAGGACTCTCAATTCGATCTCATTCAGTTGGTGTTGTTTGATCCAGCGGCATCGAAACAGGGCCACCGTTATATCCCCTCGATAGTTAAGTTTTCATATCTCTTCAATGATGCCAAAGTATTGGATCTTTTGCCCTACTCCATTGAGAGCTTCTATTAGAACGCCGTTGTTTTAGTTTACACATTTACTATCCTTTGCGTGGGTATAGTATGTATACCCATTGATGTCATAAGCTTTCCAAGATGTCACTTATCTCGATGGCCCCTCCGTCAATCTACTGATGGTAATAGAGTCTATAGTTTCTCCAGATGGTATGTTTTGGTCCTTCAACCATGTAGTTAGTCGTTACTTGTGATGTTTCATGACCCAATCATCTGAACGACCATTTCTCTCCGCTATAATGATAGCCAATTATTTATCAATGTACGGTTGCATCAGTTGTGTACTCTGCAAGACATTGTAATACGCCCAACTCACCTCTTTGGAATCATGGTCGATGAACACTTTTCTACCGAATGAAGTTGTGGCATCACGTTTAGCTGCACCATATCTTTCTGTAATTTCAGACCGTCCTTTGACTTGCCTGTGTCCATCAAGGTAGCAATGAGACTCTCAAAAACATCCTTCTGCACGTGCATAGCATCAATGGCATGGGGGACCTTCAAGTCTGGCCAATAAGGCAGATACTGAAAGAAGATTGATTGTTTCTTAAAAGGTACGCCTTCGACAGGAGGTGTGCTTCTATCTCTGTTCATCCCATCTGAATTCTTCTTTCCATAGATGACGCGTATGTTTTTCACCATTCTGTACACGTGTTCTCCGTTATGACGTCTCTTCGGAGGAGGTTCAATCCCCGGAGTGTTGTCATAAAATCTAAAGAACAATTTGCTGCGGTACTTATGACTTGTCTTTAAGAAGTGCCGATTCCTTAGATAAACTATCTTTTTGGATGCATCTAGGAACACCCATGTAGTACCATTCAAGCAAACCAAGCATCTCGTCTTCCCTTTGATCTGTCTAGACAAGCAAACAGCGCGGGATAATTATTGGTAATAACAAATATTATTGCTCTACATATAAAGTCCTCCTTTCGGAATACATCGTACATCGGCTCCCCATGCCTCCATAGCCTCTCCATTTCTTGCATCAAAGGCTTAAGGAACATGTCTATATCAATGTATGGTTGTTTAACGCCAGAAATAAGAATAGTGATGAGAAGGTACTTTCTCTTCTGACACAACCACGTTGGGATGTTGTATATGGTCAAGATCACTGGCCAAGTGTTGTGGTCACTCATCCTCTCATTAAAGGGATTCATTCCATCAGTGCTCAAGTCAAACCATATATTCCTTGGGTCATCGATGAATTCTTTGTGCTTCTCATCGATCCTTTGCCACTAACTACAATCAGCCGGGTGTGCAATCTTATTATCATCCACCTTGCGCTCATCATCCCACCATGTCATGAGTGTGACTTCTTTAGGGTTTAGGAAGATACGTCTCAAGCGGTCGGTCACTGGCAGGTACCACATTATCATGACAGGAATTCTTCTCTGCTTTGCATCGTTGCCTAATGGAGTGTCCTCTGAGGGCTGAGATTCTTGTACCACCTTTTTTGTACCCTTCTTATTCCTCTTTTTCCCAGTGGAGGTTTCGTCCCCATCGTAAAGGTCATTGTTCTTATACCGACTAGCCCCACACCGGGGATATTTATCCAGTGACTTGAACGTTTCACCATGAAAAAGGATACAGTGGTTAAGGCATGCATAGATTTTTTCCAACCCCCATTGTCAATGGACTTATGACCTTCTTTGCTTGGTATGTGTTGGCAGAAACTGAGTTTGGTTGTGGCAGCACCCATGATAGGAGACGCAATAGATCATTGAAACTACAGTCTGACCAGCCGTACTTAGCCTTCAGGATGAGTAGCTCAAGCACAAAATGTAGCAATGTCCAATGTGTCGAACAACCCTTTTCAACACCATACACAGTCTCCTTCGATGCTTTTTTCACCCTTTCTAAATTTTCTACACCTTTCGGTCTCTTTAGTAAAATCTCTGGTCCAAGGGATCGAATCATGTCCTCCAAATCATCTTCATCCTCGACGTGCTCCACCATCATTATTGGCACCGTCTTCGTCGTTATCAACCCAACCACCAACATCACCAGCTTGTTCATTGCTAAACTCGGGATCCATTCGTGCATCAAGCTCTGCTGAATATTGAGACAAGGATTCTAGGGTTTCATCGTCGTATTCCTTCTCATCCTCGTCATTAACAATAACCGTTTTACCATGATAAATCCACACTATGTAGTCCTCAACAAATCCTCGCATAATAAAATATGATATGATGATACTCATATCTGTCCATGCCATACGGTTCTTGCAATCTTTATAGGGACAAATAATTGTATCCTTATTCTCTGTTAACGTCGTTGTATGCTTCTCTGTGGCTTCAATAAATTTATCCACCTCTTCACGGAAACCTGCCTTAAACCTTAACGAACCATACATCCAAGAGTTCTGTACTCCATCTTTTACAACAACAACAAAACAAACATTAAAGGACAACTTATTCAGATATATATAAAAATGAATTAAATTAATAATTACTTGAGAATAATTGTATATACTTCAGATATATATGAATATAAATCAAATATAATTGCATGAAGCATACAAACACACCATGGTAGAGGAAAATTAATTAATGCTCATTTATCCATAAATAATTAAAATACATATTTATTGATTACAATAAATAATTTCAAAGACAACAATTAGCAACAATTATATTTTACCCAACATCTTTCATGCAAACCCTAGTCCAATTTCATCAAACATAAATTTACAAAAAACAAAATTAATTAAAAAAAAAACCAAACCATAGATCTAGATCTATATGCACATGAAATATCCATAAAACTAACTAATTGTTCACTAAAATCAAGAAATATGGACCAAATAATAGTATGATGTTGTTCCCCTACCTAATTTACCATAGTACATTCAAAACTTGGGTCTAATTTACTTCATAAGTAGCTCAAGCACCATAAAAGAGAGAAAAACAAAACTCTAATTACTCACTAACCAACCATTAAAACTTTAAAAAAATGTGGATTAGCATTTTCTTACTTCTACAACCTCTCCACCCAAGGATTTGAGATCAAAACATTCCCCCCTTAGTAGAGTAATTTTTGGGAGGTGTCCAAGGCCTTCCTACCTTTTTTTCACGGGTTGGAGTGAGTGGCCCAAAGAGGAAGAAGGAGGCTGCAGCTGGTGATTGAGCCGCCCTACAAATCGAACAGTAGGAGCAGCTGGTGAGTGAGCCGCCCCTACAAATCTACCCCATTTGTAGGGGCGGCTCGTATTACCAGCCGCCCCTACTGTTAGATTTGTAGGAGCGGCTGGAATCATGGGACCTGAGCTCACCTATTATAGAAGCGGTTGGTACTGGAGCTACCCCTACGAAAAAAACCCATTACTAAAAATCGTTTTTGTAGTAGTACATCCAACGTGCCGTATCCTAAGACATTATATTTTTATAGATACTACTATTAATTACTAATATTTAATTCATATTTTATTATATTTCTATTAATGGTTAAAGATAAAATTTTGACTTATCATATGAAGTACTGGTACAACCTCTTCGCGGCTCTGGCCTGCCTCCTCTGCCCTGGCGCGCCCGTCGAGCTCCACCGCAAGCTCTCCGGCTGGTCCAGCGACGCCGGCGCGACGTGGTACGGCGCAGCCACCGGTGCCGGGAGCGACGGTAAGTATAGATGCACGGACGACGCGCGCGTGAACTTTAACCATTTTTCATACCACCTGCACGCAAAACAAAAAGAATCCGTAACAAATGGCTTCCCGGGACCCGGGTACGTGGACGCCGTTTTTTCGTGTAGGTGGTGCGTGCGGGTACCAGAACGCCGTCGACCAGCCGCCGTTCGCGTCCATGATCGCCGCCGGCAGCCCGTCCATCTTCCAGAACGGCGAGGGCTGCGGCTCCTGCTATCAGGTACGGTTTCGTTTGACCGTTTCTTTAAGAGTGGCTAGCTCGTAATATTATGGCACTTCCTACTTAATAGTGACACCGGCGCCGTTGGGGTAATAATTAAATTCTGCAGGTGAAATGCACCGGTCACGCGTCGTGCTCCGGCAGCCCGGTGACGGTGGTCCTCACAGACGAGTGCCCCGCCGGCGCGTGCCTGGCCGAGCCCGTGCACTTCGACCTGAGCGGCACGGCGTTCGGAGCCATGGCGAAGCCCGGCCAGGCCGACCAGCTCCGCAGCGCCGGACGCCTCAACATCCAGTACGCTCGGTAAGGTAGCAGCGCCGCACGTGCCGCGTGCGTGCGTACGTAGCATGCATATACTCGCTTTCGGTGGTGTACCGCGTATGCCGTTGCTGGAGTATTAGCTTGCCTCCAACGCCGCACGTAGAAACGACGCGTGACCGTGACGCATGCAGGGTGCACGTACGTACAAACATTCAGCCTAGCCTGTTCGCTGGTTGGTTTCAGTCAGCCCAAACTAGCCAGCTAACAGTGTTTTCTCTCATAAAAAACCAACACCAGCATCAATCACCGAACACGCCCATTCTTATGTAGCTAGCTAGCCTTTCCGTCCCTTGGTGTACTAGTGATGATAGACTAGAGTGTCTGTTCCTCGCGCTTGTCCTTTTGTGCCGCCCATGTCCATGTCCATGCCCATGCATGACCGGTCTCGTCGCGTGCGCGTACATGCAGGGTGCCGTGCAACTGGAACGGGATGGACATCGCGTTCAAGGTGGACGCCGGCTCGAACCCGAACTACTTCGCGGTGCTGATCGAGTACGAGTCCGGCGACGGCGAGCTGAGGTCCGTGGAGCTCATGCAGCGCGGCGCCGGCGCGGCGTGGGCGCCGATGCAGCGGTCGTGGGGCGCGGTGTGGAGGTACAACTCGGGCGCCGCCCTGCAGGCGCCCTTCTCCGTCCGCCTCACCTCCGACTCCGGCAGGACGCTCGTCGCCAGCGACGTCATCCCCGCGGGGTGGACGCCCGGCGCCACGTACCGCTCGGTCGTCAACTTCAACAACTAACCGTAATGGACGGGCAGAAATAACGGGTGTAGGTGTAGGTGTAGGTGTAGGTGCACGCGCACGCGCCCGCCGGGACGCAGTGAACGGCGTGGCGCTGGCTTGGCTTATGATTCGAGCTGTGCGTGCCTACACCGACGCTGCTGTACTGTTGCGTGCGTGACAGTCGCCGTGTACCGCCGGAATGGCGTGTTTGTTGAATAAATAAAGGCTGTTTTGGAAGCGAAGCAGCAGCACTGTGTCTGTGTGTGTTCATCGATTTGCTTGATTTCGCTTGCAGGCGTGCGCGCAAGCCACGCGCCCACGCCCCTTCGTGCGTGCGCTTTGCCGCCTGACGTGTGTTTTGGTCGGTCGGTCGGTCGGTGTTTGATACACCTTGGGTCCTTGGCAGGTTGTTGGCCCGACGTGGTCATGACTCATGATCGAAGACGTGCGCGACGAGTTATAGTTCTCTACTGCTCCTCCAGGCAGGTACGCTACGCTACACGGCCGACGGCCACGCCCAGCCCACCTCTGCTTGGAGATGGGCCGGATGGGTGCCAGAGGGGCCGATTATTTGATGGGTTCCGTTCTACTCCGCACGGGCTAGTGGTGCTACGCTCCACTCAACACGAATTCCTCCGTCGCCCAGCAGAGATGCAACCGGGCCAGGCTGCACTGGCTCACTGCCTCCTTGCTGCGATGATGTTTACTTTGGTTAGGGTGGGCCGGTGGGGTTTGGGCCAGGGGGCTACTAAATAAAAAATCCATAAATAATACTGCACCCCACCCCATCCTTTTGCTACTCGTTCCAGTGTCTTTATCCAAAAAAAAAAGCAGAAGAGATACGATAGGTAAAGGAAAAGCTATGAACTTATGTTTTCGTTGTAAACAGAGATTTCATTGATCAAGTAGTGTAGGGTAAAGAGAGATTTCGAATAGGAGAAAGCTATGAGGCAAACAGAAAACAAATGTAATGGTGATGGATGGATGATGTTTTGATGTGTTTTTCGGTTAAAGATGTGGAGACCCTGGGTCCCTGGCTTGCCTACCGGTGCCATCAAATTCTTGGATTCGCGTATACTAAATCATTAGCGTTCAGTGCAAATCTAAGAAAAATCATTAGTGTACGAAACGTATAACCCAAACAAACCTCCTCTTCATGCACGTACTAATGGAAATTGGCACAATCCATTCGTTAAAAAAAAGGAAGTAAACCCAAACAAAGAGGATGTCTACTATGGTGCTGCACACGGCAGGAAGGTTCGTGTAGACCAACAGAATCTGATCTGAGGTCGAACTGCTTCTGAAATGAAATGCGTTCAACGTGGCTGCAGCCTACACAGCCCTACAGTAGCTGTTAACGGAGTGCTAACGTGGCTGCAGCCTACACAGCCCTATAGTAGCTGTTAACGGAGTGCTACAGTACGCGGTTTGTAGGCAAATTGAAAATGTGAGGAAGATGCCTCTCGATCTCTCCGTTGAATTATGGAACTACCTGCATGCATGTGCCTAGTTGTCGAGTGCCGGAGGAAATTCAAACTCTCCCCGTTGGATATAAATTATGCTTAAATAAAACATGTTTTAGAATCTAAAATGATGTCCCAGAATATCAACGCATTTCACACTTTCCGTCTGACTTCCAATCTCATACTCCCATCAACGCCAAGGGCCAAGGCAACCAGGGACAGGGATTCGGAAATAGAAATGCTATACAACACACATGTGTTTTGTAAAAAAAAACACAAGGATTTTTTTTTATCTCTCTTCCTCTCCCATCCTCTCCCTCTCGGTCTCAGTGCATCCCTGTCATCCCGCCTCCGCCATTTGTGGTCTCAGCACCTGCATGCATCCCCGTCATCCCGCCTCCGCCATTTGTGGATCTCGGTGGCGGCGCCCTCCACGACCGCGAGGTGGGATTCGGTGGCGGCAGGGCCCCTCCCCTGTCGGAGCTAGCTGCGAGCCTGCGACGCCCCTCTCCTCACTGATGGTGGCTGTGACGACGACAGCCAGCTGCCTCCCATGGCGTCGACCCTCCAACCGCTGACGACGCGGTCCGGCCCCTTCCCTGACCGGCGGCGGCGCGGCCCAGCCACTTCCCCGATCGGCAGCGCGCTGCTTCCCTTTGTGGTCCGGCGGCCATGCTACTCGCCCCACTCCTCATCCACGGTGGCGGCGGCGGCGGTCGATCTGTGATTTGTCCTTCCATAGAAAAAAAAACTGTGATCTGTGGAGGCTAGAGGTAGAAGAAGGGTGGAGGCTGTTGGATTTTAATCCTATGGTACAAAAAATTTATGTGTTGAAACTACATAAAACACATGGTTGTTCAGTAGACAGACTCATTCGGAAATGACGAAATGAGAACATGTCGACTTGCAACAGAATAATTTGAGGACAGAACTTGGACAATCAAAACCGTCGGCGCTCGGCAGGGAACCGGTGACCGGTGTTGCACAAGCCTGTGCGCACCCCCTAGCGTTGCATACATGATACATGAACGCGCTAGCACTCAGCTCACCAAACTGCAGTTCGTTCGTCTAATCGTTTCGTTTTCATTATTGGCGGATGGCACAGGCACCCACCGACAGCAGGTCAGACGGACGTGAGGGTTTTGTCCACGGCGAAGAAGGCCCAGCTCCCGGGGCAAGCAGACGACGGCAAGAGGCGTGGAACCGCAACCGCAGCAAGGACGGGAACTTCCGTCCCCGACTTCGGCTGCCGCGCGCGGACGAGTTCACGAAGGACTTGCAGCAGATTTCTGATGTTGTCGGTGGGAAACTACACGTCGTGCTTCGTGTCCCGGAGCCGGGATCGGTGGGTACCCCGGTTCCTCGATTCAGGGCGCCGGAGCATGGGTTCATGTTCGTACTCATAAATTTTGCCATCACACGTGTTCCTTGAAGCGATCCAGAGAATTAGACAGCCGATACATTCCTTACTTTGCTAGTATAAACTCTTAAAGCTTGACACAGATCCCGTTTGACACAACTTCCCAAGTGGAACCTCTGAAAATCTTCTCTCACATTGTTAAGGTGTTGTATGGAGGTGAAAATAGCAGCTTCTTCTAGCTCCCACTTGCACCGGTGAGCTCTAGCGCACGTGGAGGTTAGATTTTCCCTATGCAGGTGACCGCCATAAAGGGCTGGCTGACCTCGTGCTTCTTTGTTATGGTGCTTGGGAGGAACCACAAGTTTTCTCTCGTCAAATTTTTTTGCCCCATGTGTTAATTAAGAAAATTAATTAATTGTAATTAAAGATAGTTTAGTACTTTTCCTACTGTACATAATCTCTAACTCTAACCCAATTCCACAAAAGTTGCACCGTGCGTCGCGAGATCTCGCTAGGAGAAGGAGGGAGGTGCAGGGCCTACCCACCGTGGGCCGCGCGCCGGTGAGCCCTTGCGCCCGCCACCAGGGTTGCGCGCTGGTGAGCCCCCGCGCGCTAGGAGAGGGAGGGAGGTGCGGGGCCTGCACACTGGAGCCGCGCGCCGGTGAGCACCCGCGCCCGCCAGGAGCTGTAGGAGAGAGAGAGAGAGAGAGAGAGAGAGAGAGAGAGAGAGAGAGAGCAGATGAGAAGTAGCTGCTGTGAGATGAGAAACAATTCTTTTTTTATTTTGAGAAGCAGCTTCTGAGATGTCAAAATACTGTTATACCCTCTAATTTTATTTAGAAACCAGTTCTGGGTCCATGTATTTTTTTTCCCGCCCATAACTTAAGTTCCTCTTATCTGGTTCTTCCGACCTATTTTTAAACCACCAGATCTAAGTATCTAACGAAACGGGGGGTTTTCATTATTTCGAGCGCTGTAAAATTTCACTACTGTTTTATACTATAAACAAAACATAAATTATGATCCTGAACGAGCATAATTCTACCGTTGCTTACAAGAGAAGCTACATGGTTGTATGAAAAAAGAACTACCCCATTATACCTTGGCTCTAAAATATTTCAGTACAAAATTTTGCACCGCGCTGTCAAAATAGTAACTGGTTTTTATATAATAATTTCCAAAATTTTCAATCGAGGGGTGACACTGAAAGATGTCGTGGTCCACCTTCAAAATTGTCCAAAATTTATGCTATCGTTCGGTCAAAGTTGTCTCAACTCGAAATTTTACCAGGTCACAAACATTAGAGCTATATAGAACTGTACATTGTAATCACACTTCACCGTCTAAGGCACCGTTCGCTTCGCTGAAAAAACAAGTCGAAACATTGTTCCGACTAATTTATTGTGAGAGAAAAACTATTTTTCCGGCTGAAAAAACGAGCTGAAAAGTACGCAGCCTGTTCGGTTGGCTAGGCTGGTTCGTGAAGAAGTACTGCTGGCTAATTTGGTGTGAGAGAAAAATACCGTTCTGCATGAAAATTTAAGATCGTTTACGACCAAGCGAACAGGCATATAAGAGAAGCGAAGAGGGCCCAAATCTGATCCACAGGCGGATGCAGGGCTCGTGTACGCATGTGCCAGTGGGGTCACTACAACCACTAAGAATTTCAAAGATGTCGATCATTAGCGTATCCGATTATACTTTCGCGTACGATTCCTTAAAATTATACTCCGTACACGATATGGTGGTTGCTGAGCACACTACCAGACACAGATAATCGTAAGTAGAAGCTTGATGTGCAGTGCAGCCAGGGCTCTGAGATGTAAGTACTTAGCTTTCTGAACTATACATCTCCACGACATGGTAGGCATGCAATCCCTCTTGAACACCGCAAAAGATCTGTGTAACTGTAAAGCAAGCCTGGTCGGTACTTTTTTTTTGAAAGGACGGCATTTCCTTTTGCCACGACAAAGTTTGCTCGATCGTCGCATCGAACGATCACATGGACATGGTGCAAGTTCAAAATTGTCACCTCCGGTTAGTTATAAACCGTCGGCAGAGTGCAGAGTTGCAGAAGCTGCAAGCTAAACAAACATTCTCTCGCTGCTGGCGGGCGTAAGAAATGGTCGGCACCACTGGCGGAGCCAAGGGGGGGCATGCACAACAATAAAAAATAGTAGTATGACTTAATATTTTTTATTTATATTAAGAGGGAGATTATATAAAATTTTTGTCATATATATCTATTAATATCTTTTAGATAATATAATTATACAAACCACAACTAGATAATAAAAGTATCGCAATGAAAAAGACCGAGCCGCGCCATGAGTTTTCAAGTATAATTCCCGAAATGGTAAATCGGCACATTTTTCGGCCGAGCATCACTCATTCACTCGTGCATGACAGGAAAGCTCCGGTGGTAAAGAAGGAAATTATTCAGATTGAAGGATCACACAGAATGATCATCAACAGGCCAACGCTGCATTTGACAAAAGGAACGGACCGGCCGTTCCAACTTTGATCGATGGCCAAAAGTTCTTGATTAATCAGTGTGATCCTAATGCACTGTACATTGGCGATGGTGCATGCCTAAAAGGCGATTAATCAGTGTGATCCTAACTAACGGGCGATGAGTGGATGCCTCGTGAGATTTCATCTGCGCTGGAGAAACGCGCGACACTCCAGCTCCAGGGACCAGGGTCCAGGGAGGTCAGCTTCAGCTTGGTGTTAATTAGAAATAATCATGCGCGATAACCTTTCGTCAAATTCCTGCTCAAATCACGCTCCGACCAACTGCTACTTGGTGGCTTTATTGTGATTTAACACTTCACCGGCCATTCTATATATTGGACAACAATCTTTGTAATTAGATTATTATTATTCTCATGAGTTTTCAGCATAAAGATTATGAGTCGCCTACCATCTAAAATCACTATTTGGAAATCAAGAATTATTTTTTCTTGAATTACACAAGTATTGACGCAGACTCTCACAACACGCACGCACACCCACGCTACCCCTATGAGGTTCGTCTATCACTGAAAGCATAACGCTATTAAAACCTAGAACAAATTCAGTAAAATACGAGCACACGTGCCAAGTCGAGGACTTTAACCCTGATGTGGAGGTTCCACCACAAGAAATCTAACCAACCGAGCTAGGCTCAGTTTACGGAGATCAAGAATTCCAGAGTCAATAGTAAACTAAAATCACATTTCAGTCATATTCTCCTCGACCCCTCTCCATGAACTTTTATGTATTGGTAGATAAAGACACTCACATGAGCATAACTCCTATGAACATAGTGACATACAGATCCACACCTATGTACTCTTTATGGACACCCACAAAAGATTAGACCAACATATTTTATGATCGATGAAATTGATATTCCGGTACCACATCATTCACTGTTCAAGTTAGCCAAGAATACAAGCATAACTGTTGTGGCCCCATTTGGTAGAGCCCCGAAAGGCTCGACTTAGACTCCCCATGCACTGTAGTGATGTGAGTCATTTCTCTATATCATCTTAAAATGAACTAGGAGTCAATGAAGCCACTATTTTTTACTTCACTGGCTCCGGTGTGCATTGTAGAGTTGCCCATTCTTAGGCATCAACATTGCTACGGGAGTACTTGCTTTCTCGTTCTAAACTATAGGTCATTTTGACTTATAGTTTTTACTATGTATCTACATAATGTATAACTAGATGCATATTAAAAACTATGTATCTACAAAAGCTAAAACGACTTATAATTTAAAGTGAAAATGAGTACATAGTATTTGCCCAGTAGAATAGGGATACTAGCTAATTCAATAATACAATTGAAGAAGGTTTGCTTATAAGTATGGAAAAGTCATTTTAGACCGTGCTTGAGCCGACACATTATTCAGGTGCTAGAAAATTGCATTGTCACAATGTATTTTTCTAGTATTTACCATTGTACCTCTTATCTAATTCTTAAATAAATTGTAAAATCTGTAACTTTCATGAAAAGGGTTCAAAATATTTTTTACGTCATGAGCAGATAATGAAAAGTAACAAAGATATTTTGAGAGTTGTGTTTGAATCGGCACGATACGATAATATGTCACGTGTCATGAGCCATATCCGGATCGAAGCAAAGACTTACCCTGCCATACCCGCATAGCCCGACATACTTCGCGTGCCTGGAAGCCATTATTCAGAGCGGCACGAAGAAGCACGAGACCCAAGTGCCACCTCTACAAGTATCCAACCTGCATAGTTTGTTATAAAAAAAAACTGCAGAGTTCAGATGATCAGATTTCTATTCCTCAACATGTGTTTTCCATTCGCACATTTTGAAATGGCATTCTCCAATTGTACTTCATGCATTGTGCAGATTACATTATTGTATCTCCCGGCATTATTTGGGTACTGAAGTCTGCAGATTAATAATTATTAGTTTAGCCTCCCCTCTATTTCTCCTCCAACACCAACTGGTCACGTTCTCCCCAATAATTCGTCCGGCACGATTCCTTTTTTCTCTTCCTCCCAGTCCCACACTCCCACGTACGTCCTCGCTCCCAACAGAGTCCCTATAAATACCCCACCCGTGTCCACTCCTGCAACTCACCAAACAAACCCTCGAGCTAAAGCTCATCTCTACCTCACAGCCGTCTTCCGAGCTACAGCTACCAGTGCTTAGCTCAAAACTCAAAAGAAGAAACAAGAACTCACTACCAATGGCGAAGTCTTGCACCTTACTGATATTCGGCGCACTAGTCGTGCTCTTGCTTCTAGTGAGCCCCATTGCTTGCTCCCGCAAGCTCGCCAAGCCAAACAAGCACAGGCCGAGACACAAGCCGGCAGTCAGGGCCCGCAGCAACTACACTGGCACCCCCTCGGTGTCCGACGCCTACGGCTCCGGCGGCTGGTTGTCCGCCGGCGCGACGTACTACGGCGCACCCGACGGCGACGGCAGTGACGGTTAGTTAGTGCCGTTGCTTATTTTATTGTCTGTCGGTTAGCCTGTACTTTGCAATTTGCACGTCGCGTTGACATTGACATGCAATCGGCAAATTTAATTTGCATGGGCAGGCGGCGCGTGCGGCTACCAGACCGCCGTCGGGCAGCGTCCCTTCTCGTCGATGATCGCCGCCGGTAGCCCGTCGCTGTTCAAGGGAGGCAAGGGCTGTGGCGCTTGCTACGAGGTCAGACTTCGCACGGCCTAGGAAGCTCCTGTGCTGTGACAGTGTACTACTAGCTGCATTCATGGTGCAAAGTGGTCGGCGCTGGTGCTAAATAACTGAATGCGTTCATGTGTGGCGCGCGCAACGCAGGTTAAATGCGACGGCAACGCGGCATGCTCCGGCCAGCCGGCGACCGTGGTCATCACCGACGAGTGCCCCGGCGGCGTCTGCCTTGCCGAGGCGGCCCACTTCGACATGAGCGGCACCTCCATGGGCGCCATGGCCAAGCCCGGCATGGCCGACAGGCTTCGCGCCGCCGGTATTCTAAAGGTCCAGTACAAGAGGTACGTCACGGCCGAGCACCGAGAAGTGCAGAAGCATTACGCGTGTGTGGAATCAGAGTGACGATGCTGTATTAATCTTGGTCATAATTTCCTTGGTTTGCCGCAGGGTGCCGTGCAAGTACAGCGGCCTAAACATCGCCTTCAGGGTGGACCAGGGTTCCAACCCGTTCTACTTCGAGGTGCTGGTCGAGTTCGAGGACGGCGACGGCGACCTCAGCGCCGTCGACCTGATGGAGGCGGGGTGCGGAACCTGGACGCCGATGGTGCAGAACTGGGGCGCGCTGTGGCGCTACAACTCCAACACCGGCAAGGCGCTGAGGGCGCCCTTCTCGCTCCGGCTCACCTCCGACTCCGGCAAGGTGCTCGTCGCCAACAACGTCATCCCCGCCGGCTGGAACCCCGGAGCCACGTACCGCTCCTTGGTGAACTACTCCTAAATTACAGCTGCAGCGTTAAGAGGTGTCCTTGCATGCATCCGGGCTTTTGCGAGAGGCGGTGTCAGAAGATGAGGAGGAGGTTGAAGGATCGAGTTCTTCCCTCCCTCCACGGCCTCTGCAGTCCCCCTAGTGATGTCTGAGCGTGTTGTTGATTTCTCTGTAATTTTGTTTTCTTTTTGTCGTCCCGGCCCCTTGTTGCAAGAGCCGCGACCAATCACCAATGTTGCATGCAGATGCACAAGCTGTGTGAGTGTTTTTTGTACCACGCAATCCTTTGAGATAATTGAAGTACTGCTATCTCATTGTCGTCATGACTCATGAATGCACACTATACCGACTTCTGAAAACAGCAAAGTCAAATTAAACGTACCGGTTAAACCATGATTTTCTGAATGTGCAAACTGATAGTTTGAACGGATCTTGTACTGCTGTAATGTGTAGCTCTTGATCTGAGCATGCCTCCAGATTTCAATCGGACGATCCGGACGGTTTCCAAGTCTCCAACTGCAGAGTACCTGTTGACGTTCACCCGTGATGCAGAGCATCCGAGTCCTGAGTCTTGATGACAGGTGCAAATCTCGAAGGAAACGAGAACAAAAGCAGTGTCTTGATTTTCAGTTTTCAGAAGACATGATAGATTGAACTCTGCCAGGCAACACATCTAACTCCTTAACCAAACATACCATCATTCCACCGAGTACTCATGTTGATGCAACGAATACCTCTCAACAAGCTCATCAGTCGGGCATGACACTCCTCTGTTCACAAATAAGCGACGTTCTAGACATTATAAGAAGGTGTCTAAAGCACAACATTGTTTTTTTTCCCACAACGTTGGTCACTTTTTTTTACCAAAATAAAATAAAAAAACCACGTTGATCCCCCTTTTTTCTTGGTCATAATAAGGTGTCATATATGTGTAACTCATCGCGTGGGTGAACTGAATATACATTTCGCCAATTATATAGCGCCGACCGTGTAAACATGCTTCGCTTCGCATATGAAATTCAGAATGTGATCCATGCTGCTTTACAAAGTTACCGTTCCAATACTGGACCTTCTGACTGAGTTCTGACTGAAGAAGGAGGAGCGGTGGTATGAAAGAGACAACGTGCTCCTGAAGCACGCTGCACTGCACTGCATGGCGACGACAGACGCCGCTGATCGAAGGACACTACCTTGTCGCCGTCGGGTTCCCGATCCACCATGTGCTAATCATTCCAGGAAACCGATGGACGGAGCCACTGACGAGCGCATGCACGTTCTCTGCCCCGCCCTCTGGTTGTTAAGCGTTCGGTTGGTGTGTAAACGTCAGTGGCCGAGGCGAGCAGCTGCGGCTGCGCGGCCTCCAACCGATGGAGCCGTGGATGTAGCTGCGGCCGTCGTGAGCATGCATGGCCGCTCGCCGTGTGAGCCGTCCGTTGTCTCGCCGCGCATGTGAGGGCAGATCCCGGCGGATGCGAAGCCGAAAGCGACCCGCACATGCACGCGCCACTCCCAGGCTATTCCAGCGGTCAAAACTTGCTTAACGTGTCACTTGGCGCCATCCAGTCTATCCATCTACCTGCCGCCCAATAGAGCAGCACCACATTGAATATTTTGGCCCGTAACCGCGGCCGCGAGGGCTGTTAAATAAATAAATTCCCCAATGCAACGTGTTCTGAACCGCGGCAGCATGTCGGAGCGATTTGCGTCGCCTAATCTGCGCAGCCAGACACTGACAAAGATCGGCAGCAGATGTGTCACTCACTCACTCACTAGCAGATCCCAGACAGCGGCAGCAGAGGTTCTTCCAAGCAGCCTCACATGCCGGAGTGATTTCTTCCGGCGCCGCGCTTAGACTGGGCTCTGGGAGTGTCGGCGTCGGCGTGTCCGCACGCGCACGTCCAATTAATTTACCCGCGGATACCGCGCCGATCCCGGTCGATCACGCCAGTATCTGCACCCCCCCGGCGCGGTGCCCGTGGGCCAACGCCGGCGGTTGGAGCTGTGTCGTATGTGTTGCCGCGCGAGCGAGCGAGGCGGCCCCGCCCCGCGGCCGCGACGGGAGCGAGCAGGGGGGCCACACATAACTGTAACAACAGTCGAAGCTACCCGACTTTTGAATCGGATCGGATCCTTTCCGGCTTTTGCGGTGCCCCCATGTGAGGCGAGTAAACTAGCGGACAAGTGGCGGGGCTTCGTCGTTCCGGCCACATACAACGCCGGTACATGTCACGCCGCGCCGGCGTTTGGCTGCGACCGGCGGGCCGCTCTCCTGCCACCGGAAGTGCAGTGGCCAGTGGCAGTGGCACCGGTAGTAGATCTGTAGCAGCTTTGAAGTTTGAACTGCCGGGTTCTAGAAGAAGCGGCGGGGGGTTAAACACCTCCGTAACTGCGAGGACTGACTGATGATGTGGAGTTTTTTTTTCCACCTCTCATCTAGATACAGCAGCATCTGTTCGTATACGGACACACACCTACACCACACACACGAACACCACACTCACACCACTAATACACAAGCAGACACAAGCAGACTTACAACTATACATAGATATGAAGACACGGTCCAGAGAGATCACCAGAAACCAGAAGGCTCTGTAGACAACGGGGAACGTCACAGTCCCTCTATGACACTAGAGGTTTAGAGGCTTCACTGAAAGTTATTATAGGAATAAATCCCGATGAGAACACCAGCGCCGAACCCGGGGTTCGAACGCTGGTGGGCAGCGTGCTCACCTGCACCGCATGCCAACCGAGCCAGAGCTCGTTCTCACTGATGACGTGGAGTTGCGTGAACTAGCAGTGCTTTCGTTTTCGAAAACAGGGGAGAGGAAGGCCGACGAACATGCACGTACCGACGTACGTACTCAGTGACTCAGGAGGCCGGGATTCGGTTTTTTTTCACTAACCGGCACTGTGCCATTTTGGAGCGATTGGGCTCCTGGTCGTGTTTGTCAATACGGCATTTGCGCAGCACATGGCGGATGGAGATCGCGACAGTGACTAGGCAGCGCCCATGGACATCGATCGCCATGCGAGCGCAGAGTGCCAAGCTTCAGGAACATGGCCACTACATGGGTCGTATTCGTCTCGCCGACTCACCGTGCGTTACTGCTTAATTTTGCATAGGCAATCTATTCTGTATCAGGCAAGAGACGCACGTTACCAGTTGCCCAGTTTACGTTAGCAAATACCAAGACAAGGAAAAAAAATTTCGAAAAAAAAACGCAAGGCAAGGAAATGCTAGCTTTAATTATAGGAAATCCGTGTTCGTGCGTTGCAACGGGATAACTAATAATTTATACTAAAAACACACGGATCACAAGATAAGATAACAATACAGTTAAATTAAATACCAACGTTAAAGTGACATTTAATCCAAAAGGCAAAGTTTATGAATTTAACACAGTCACGGAGTGTGTGGCGTCGCAGGTTCACAAACTCTAGAGCTTCTAGAGATTGGGTCGAATCCAACCTAGAGCCTCGGAACCTGCATCTTTTTCTAGACGGGCTTCACTTCGGACGCGCCAGTAGCAATATCAACGATCTCCAGTCGATGGACCAAGTCGTATGGATCCCCATACAATGGCTCAGACATGTAGATTTTGTTCTCCTTGTACTTGGATACACTTGTTCCACTGAAGCTTTCATTGAAATGTTTAGACACGAACAGTGTCTGATCACCGATGTCTCTCACCCTGGACCACTCCGACGTACGGTCGTGGAGGTTGCACTTATAGATCACACTGCTGTAGGTGAAGCTCTGTGTCTCGTAGAACGTGCTCATCATGGCACCCACAATGTGCAGCTCATCGTTTGATTCCAGGTAGCTGCGGTGGTAGAGCCCCGCAGATGGCGACAGCGATGGCAGCAGCGTCGAGGTTGGAGTAGCGCCGGCGGCGTTGCTGCTGCAGACGAAGATTTCTCCAGTGCAGTCGATCGCCAAGAACTTGTCTTGGCAGTGGACGATGGACCCCACGGAGAACTCCAGTTTGGTGTCGAGCAGCGTCCATGCGCTGTCGACTCCAACCCGGCAGAACGCGACCTCTGTGGAGCACCCAAGCATGGCCATGACCACGCACTCGCGGCCGGCGGCGTCAGGCGGCGCCGAGAGCACGATCTCACGGAAGAACACGTCCCTCATGTCTTCTAGCTTGATGGCTTTGCCTGCGGCATCCGCGTCCCCGTAGCCATTGGTGGGAAGGAGGACCCACCGGCCGTGGACCCTAGACACGTGTTCCGATGAGGACGCCGCCGCGAAGTGTTCGCCTGTTGGCGGGAGCTCAACGCGAGGGGCACGGGCACCGGCGAATGGATTCAATAGCGTCACGGACGTCGCCTCGTCCATGAGCGCCAGCCACCCACACGAGGAGCCGCACGCCACCTTACCGCGCACGTCGGGCAGCGTCTTGGACAAGACCTTCTTCTCTGGGACGTAGTAGAAGCCGACGTGATCCGAGTTAGGGTTGAACGGGAGCAGTAGGAGCGGCCCGAAGATCGCGAACGGGACGGCGGCGCGCCATGGGGAGCAAGCGGATCGGAAGGACGCCGCGTCGTGGCCTGACGCGAGACGCTGCCCGATAGACTCGAGGAGATCCTCTGGCAGGTCGGATCTCCAGTCAGAGAGAGGTAGGGACCTTCTCTTGGGGTTGGAAGCTGTGCCATGGAAGATAGATGACATCAACTATGGTTCACGCAAGAAATAGCAAGCGAGGGCGATGGAACACGTGAGCGTGAAACCAAATGAAAGGAGGAAAAAGCTGTTACTTTTGCAAATGCAAAGAGGGAAAGTAATTAAATGTAACCAGATTTGGCAAGGTTCTCAGAAATGCAAAGAGGTTCCTTTTGTCTTAATTCTCTTTCCTTCTGTGTTAATTCTCTTTCCTTTTGCTCGTTGCCATATATGCTGGTGCATGCAAACATGCAATGTGTATATGGATAGTACAATAATTTTCTACTTCCTATTTTGACGTGATTCCTCTATCACATGAGAGGCAATATTCAATCAAGGAGAA